ACACATTCAGAAATTCTTTCTTCAAAAGGTTTTACTTTTTTTTAGTCGCCGATACACTTTTCTTTTCCTTTTTTCATATCCAGAGTGATCAAATAATTTTCGTTCATCTTCATCATTTGGAGAAAAGTCTTTTCCCTTTCATAAATTAAAAAAGGCTTTTCCTTTCCCCCTTAATTCGCCACTGGCCTAAATAAATGGCCCATATGCGCTTTACGTGAAAAAAGACTTCCAAACAGGATTTGTGCTGATTTTTTAGTCTTCTAATTATTTTTGTGAAGAAAGGGAAAGGTGAAAATAAAGAAAAAAAATTAAATGAATGGGGAGAGATTTGGAAAATTAAATAAAAAGGTTAAAAGGTAAAACACAAAAATTGGAAAAAAAATAATGACTATTATATACTATTTAAAAGTACATTTTATTTTTGTCCTTTTTTGTTTTATAAAAATTTTATTTTCAAAAATTTTTTTGAAGAAAATTTAAGGAAATTATAATAATTTTATTTTTTATTTATTTTTTTATTATTTTTCCTTTTTAGGAAAAAATAAATAAAAATATTAGGACAATAAAGCCAGTTTATTTTTGGTCATCCGGCTGACCATTCCTTCTTTCTTTGTTTGTCCTTCGAGAAAATTAAGACAAAAAATGAATTAATATTTACTGGCTAATAAATTAATTGAAAGGAAGTTGGCCTATTTGTCTCTCAATTTATTCATTTAACAGAAGCTCCGGTGATCTGATTAAATTCGAAGAAATTAATAAACAAAAATGGGAAGGATGCCAATTAGAGTTTCACTGGAAGTTCCGTGTTCCGGAAAGTTCCAGTGTTTTTGGTTCCGGTTCCGGTCGAAATTTCGGTTCCGGTGAAACACTAATGCCAATCCACCTCTTCTAACAATAGAAAAATCAAAGGAGAGTGATGTCCTTCCATAAAAATCACCGGTCATTCCTTACGCGGCTTGTTTTATTAGCCTTTTTCCCTCATTTCCCTCATTTTCCTTTATTTTCCTCATTTTTATTTTTTCTACATTCGGCCAAATATATAAAAATATATACAAAACATTTATACAATAATAATGCTAAATTGTTTCCCTTTTTGTACACAACAAAGATCTGTCTCTATTTTTAGCTAACAAAATTGGCTAACGTTTTCCTCTCAATTTTTTCTTTTGGTTTGAAAATAAAAGGACAAAATAATTTTTATAAAAATTTTTTTTTAATTTTTAAATTTTACAAATGACCATTTTACTAAAATTTTTGTAGAGAGTGCGCGTCATTAAAAATTTGAAGAAAATTTTTTTTCTAAGGATTTTGACTTTTTATTTATTTTATTATTTTTATTAAAATACAAAAGAGACAATAAAATAAAAGGAATTTTAGCTATTTAAAAATATTGCGCATTTACTTCAAAATTGGGGTTAAGCGCAGACAATTAAATATATTTTATTTTACGGCACTTAAAATAATTTTTGAAAATTTTTCTTTGTTTTCGATATAAATTAAAAGAAAGGATGAGGGTTTTATTTTAAAGAAAATTATTAAAAAATGCCCTCAATTTTATTTTGAATTTAAAAGTTTAAAAATAAAATATAGTTTACTTATTAAGTTAAGAAAACTAAGGAAGAACGAACAAGCCATTTGCTCAGCCCCCGCAGGCATCTTGATATTATCTTTATCCGTGTCCATGCACAGGTCTGCTTAAAACCTCTTAAAAATTCGATTCGTGAATTTTGAGATTGTATAACCTGGTGTAGCCTAAGTAGATCTAAGTCTCGACTTTCTTTTTTCATATTATCCCCTTTAACCAAAAATTATCTCAAATCTTGGGGGCTTGGAATCAATTATATATTTGTATTGAGTTTCGTTTACGAGTTTGTACTTATGGTTGGTATAACCTGAGTGAATGTCAAATTATAATGAGAATGAACTTGATTTAATTTTACCTCTCTTTAAGAATAAATATTTTTTCCTGTCCATTTTCAAACTTAAAAAAAGCGCAACATTCTCCTCTACAAATCCCGCCCATTTCCTTTTTTTCATCTTTTCGTTCCGAAATTATTTTCTTAAATAATTCTAACAATTTATTTTTTAATATTTTTTAAGTTCAGATTATTTTTAAAAAATATTATTAAATTATTAAATCAGTCAATTTTGTAACAACAAGAATCCTTCAAATTTATTCTAATAAATATTGGAAACGACAAATTGTTCAAATTTATTTAAATTGACTACGTAAAATTGCTGACTGATCTGCTTTTGAAGAAAATGGTGGGTTTACTTTAAAAATTAAATTTTTTTTTAATGAAATAATTATTTGAAATTTGGTAAAATAATAGTAAAAACAGCTTTAATTTAAATTTAAAAAATTGCCTTATTTTTTATTAATTAAATATATTAATTTTAATAAAGTCTGATCTCACTATAAGATAAATCCTTTATCAGATGAATTTAAATTTTAAAATAGGTACACTTTTTTAAATTTTGGTTGGCCTCATGCTGAGTGCGGTGGAGGAGAGGAAGACAGCCTAACCGATACCCCCTAATCTAACTTCTTTCAAAAATTTTTTTAAGATATTTTTATGAGAAAAAACTTTTCCTGCCTAAGTATTATCATATAGTGAGGTCAATTTTTTTTGTTTCTTTAAGAATTTTGTTCAAATTTTTATTTATTTTTTTTTCTACTTATTTTCTACCTATTTTTCCTTTCTTCCCGAAATTTTTGTACATACTTTTTTTGCAACAAAAAATCCAGTTTTTTTATAATTTGACCACAAATATGGACAAGAAAAATTGCGCGAATTTATAATAGAATTTATTCTTGAAAGAAAATTGGGCCAAAAAAAATCTTGCTCTAAATACAATTGACCTCAATTCAGGCCCCGATTCTTCCCCTTCTAAAATTTTTTTTAATAAAAAAGGGAAAAAGTGAAAAGAACTCGAAAAAATATTTTTGCAACACAAAGGCAATAAATAATGAAGAAAAAAGATATCGGGAAATGGATATAATAAAATAAAGAAAATATAGGTAATTATTATTAAAAACTAGTTAAAATTTTTGGTTAATAGTACAAAAGGATTGAAAGAAGTATTAAAAATAGATAAAAAAATAGAAATGAAATTGAAAACATGGGAACTTAAGTTTAAGATAAGTATGAAGTTTTAAGCTTACAACGTAGACTTAAGTTTAAGGTATATTACGTTTTAAGTTACAAACTTGAAAACTTGTGAATCCAAGTTTTCGATAAAAATTTAAACTGTAAACTTGTAAACTTAAGTTCAGAATAAATTTAAGTTTTTAAGCTTGCAAACTAAAGAATCCAATTTTCAAGTTTAAAGATATTTAAATTGGAAAGCTAAAAATAAATAAAACTTGGATTAAAAATTAGAAATTAATAAAACTTTTTTTAAATAAATTAATGAAACGTGGAATACTTAAACAATAAGTTTTATTTTAATTTATCGAATAAAATAAAACCTTAATTAGATTTATTTAATTTAAATTATATTTTACTTCTATTCTTATGCTTCAAACACTATCTAAATTACCTCATCATTTTCTTTTATTATTTAAAATTCAAATCAATTTTTAAATTTTTTTATTTTTTGCCGTCCTCAATTTTATTTTTTAATCTTCAATTTTGTTTTTTAATTTTGAGCTTTAATATTTTTTCTAAAGAAAAATGCCTGCTACAGTTTATGGCGTAATAGGCATCGCGCGATATTTTTGAAGATATTTGAATATATTTTTCTTTTATTTTTTTGTTACTAATCCAAAACAATTATGTGATATATCTAAAATTGTCGGCAAAAAAGATTTTTTGTTTCGGAATTTTGGGGAAATTCTGGGAGAATTTTGTTGAATTTAATGGAATATTTGATTTATTTCTAAACATATGATATCACATTTTGGCTCTTGTCATTTTTGGTACACAAATTTTTATGCGTCGCGCAGATCGCGTACTTATCGCTATAGATTAGACGCATAAAATTTTCATTGGACGCATGAGCGTTGGACTCTAATCTGGACAATATAGCCGCTCAACCTGTTTGTCAGGTTTATTGGAATTATTTTTGTAATCCTACTGAAAATCACAATTTTTACCAACATTTCCTTTTCTATACACTCTTCCTTCCCCTTTTTTTATCTACCTTTTTTATCCAGAAGAGAGCTATTATGTGATTAAATTTATAACTTATACCGCCTTTTTTATTCTTTTATGCCGACAATCTTTTAAAATGTTCAGCGACCTTCAAAACGTTTTTTGGTTTAATAGCAAAAGGATGAGCATTTAATTGTATTGTTTTTGTTTTTAAGGAATAACGGAGGGATATTTAAAAAATATTAAGGTACCTAGGATTACAACAAGGATGCCAAATGTATAGAAAAAAGTGTTGGGTTTCGGACCGGGGTTTGAAATTTTTTTTGGATTTTATTTCGGGCAGCCAGTGATATCCCTCATATAAAACGGAAAATTAATTTTCTAAAATTCCCTGGAAAATTAATTTTCCAAAATCTTAAAGAACCTAAACCCCTATTATATTTTGTTTATTATATTTCATTTTCTCGAAAATAAAAATTCAACTTTTGTTATATCCCAAAAACGATTGTTGTTTTTATTATTTTTGGGGTAATTGTTTTGTAGGGAGATCTCAACGGCCTTGGCAAGGTTAAAGAACGGAGACCGACATATAAAAAAGAATTTTTCTTATTAAAGGTGAAAGATAGGTTTCTTATCAGATTGTTTTTGGGAGAAATATTGGAATATTTTTAAGATGGGAAAGAAAAAATTTTTTTGGAGATTTTTAAGTATATAATTTGGGGGTTTTAAAGAAGAGCGGAAAAATGTAAAAGACTTTATGTTGATTAACCAATGTTTGGGGTATTTTGGAATATTTATTTATGATTTCTCAGACTATTAAAAATATTTTTATTGTAAAAATAATTTTTTTTTGTTTTATTATAATAATTTGAAGATGAGTATTTTTGTTTTTAAATAGGCAAACTTTATTGTATTTTATTTGTTTATTGTATTTTTATGTATTTTTTTGTATTTTCCGGAAATTATATTTTTTTCCGGAAGCTAATTTATCCTTGTATTTCTTTTGTTTTGTGTTTTTGTATTTCTTTGTGTTTTCCGTTAATTTTATTATTCTTTCCGGAATTGTATTTTCTTTCCCGAGTTGTATTTTTTCCTATATTTTTGTATTTTCCTTTATTATTTACCCATTTTACTAAAAATTTTTATTTTGCAATAATTTGTGTTTTCTTGCTTTCAAAATGATTCAACCATTTTATTTCTTCTCCTTACAGTCTATTAAAGCCTTAAATATTTAAAATTTCATTTTCTTTGTTTTCTATTTAAAAACAAATTTATTTATTTTTATATTTAAAAATGTTTTTGTATTTTTCTGAACAATATAAAAGCACTTTACCCATTCAACCATATGTATTTTTATTTTTTATTTATTTAAAAATAAATGCCAGCCGCTTTTTCTAACATTAACCCCCTACTTTTTATTAGTTTTTCTGCTATTGTTAATTTTCTTAAAGATTAAATACAATTGGAAACAATAAATTTGTGTACTTTCAATAAGTATTTCCTCCTCCGTAATTACTCAAAAAATTTTTTAAAAATAATTTTTATGAATACCGTAGATACTCTAATTAAAGCCTGTCTTTAATATGGGCAGATATCTGCGATATCTGCCCATATCTGCTATAAACCCTCCCAGGGAGCCTATTAACAAATAGAAGACCACTCTCTAATAAAAGCCAATTTTCTAGTATAAATCATGCAATGTGGGCTTATACTAGAGTTGATTTTATAATTTTTATAATTTTATAATTAGACGGTATTTATAATTTCAAAACAATAATAAAATAAATCCAAGCCTTTATTTCAATATGAGAATAACAAAAAAAAGATACTATGGGAAAACTTAAAATTTTTTTCAAAAGAATTGTTTCATAAGCAAGCACTTCCTTTAATAAATAATTTATTATTTTTTTTAAATTAAAAAAAAAATTTTTTTCTTTTGTTTTGTAATAAACAATTGACGAAATAGCCAATAAAAAAAATTAAAATTGTTTATTAAAATTAATGTCAATTTATTAATCCCTTTATATATTAAATGAGTTTTGGGAGACCTCGATTATCGATTTTTTAAAGGACTTTTTTAAAGAAGAAAAAACAAAATTTTTTGAAACGAAAGTGTGTAAACAAGAAAGATAAGAGTAAACAAAATTTTTTTCTTTAATTTAGACAAAAATAAAAAAGACCTAAAAAATACTTCTCTAATTTCAATTAACTTATTTACATCGCAGCAGGTTTAATTAAAAAAACGAATAGATATTTAGTAACAAATTTTTTTAATTAAAAAAAATCATTTTTCGAAGCGAAATTCTTTTTAAAAATGTAAACAAATTTTTTTAAAGAGTCATATATTTTTAAAAAATTACACATTTATTGCGAAATAAAAAAATTTTGTAAATTATTATTGTCTAAAAATAGCAATTGTTTTTTTAAAAAAGAATAGAAAGAAAAAAAGAAAGAAAATATGAAAAAACAAAGAGAAGTTAGAATAAATTTAGATGAAAATTTTGATGAAAATGAAAAAGTACATAAAATTCTTGAAGAAAATTTAATTGAAAAAGAAAATGAAAGACAAAATTTTGGCAAAATCAAAAAATTTAAAAAAAAAGAAGAAAAATTAGAAGGAAGTCAATTTAATGTATTAGATATAAAGCTATATAAACTTGGACAATTTAATTTAAAATGTAAAAATTGCCCAGCTATTCATTTTCCTGAAGAAAAAATTAAAAAAGTTGACGAGAATTTATTTTCTAATTGCTGTAATAATGGAAAATTAAAAAATTTAGAACAATTTATAAAAGATTATCCTTTGGAATTAAAAATATTATTTAAAAATGAAAATAAATTAAGTTTACCAATTTGTTCCTTAAATTCAATTTTTATAAAAAATATTAGAAAGATTAATTCAGCTTTTTCATGTGCTTCTTTAGGGTGTTTGAAATTTAATTTTTCAGATAAAAAAATCCCTATATTTAAAATACAGGGTAGTGTTTATCATTCATACAATTCAGTAGCTCAATCAATTGACGAACCACCAAGCAATGGTCAACTATATTTTCTAGATACGGAGGAAGCTGTAGAATTACGTTTGAATTTTTTCGAAGACAAAAACGAAAATCAAAATAAAATAAATGAATTAATTTCGTATATAGAAAAAATTTTAAGAAAATATTATATTTATGCTCAATCATATGAGCTAATGAAGAATGTTTGTAATGAAATTGAAAATAACACAGATTTGAAAAAAATCCCAGAAATTAATATGTTATTTGATGTAAAAGAAGATATAGATTTAAGGAGATATAATGTGCCTAGATCAAATGAAGTTTGCGCTATTATTTGGCGTGATTCTAACGAAGATATTCCATTAGCTAATGTTGTTGTGTATTTAAAAGGGAAAAAAATATTAAAGTCAATATATCCCTTAAGTTATTTAGTTGAACCTATGTGCTATCCCCTATTTTATCCTTCAAATTCCAAAGGTTGGGATAGTTCATTAAAGGATTTAAATGGAAAAAATATTTCTTTATGTGATTTTACCAAATATAAATTATTTTATCGAGAAGAAGGAAAATTTTTGCCCCATTTTTTCAGTGGAAAATTGTTTCAGCAATGGTGTGTTGATCAAGCAGCTAGAATAGAATGGAGTCGGTTAAACTATATTAAATTGCATCAGAAAGAAATATGCAAAGAGCCATATAATTCGTTATTAAAAATTTTAAAAGCTAAGGAAATAGAATATGGTGCTAAGGTTAAAAAACAAATTATATTACCAACAAGTTTTATAGGAGGTCCACGAAATTTACATGAAAGTTTTATGGACGCTATGACAATTGTAAATGAAGTTGGAAAGCCAGATTTATTTTTGACTTTTACGTGTAACCCGAATGATGAAGATATAAAAAAATGTTTAATAGATGCTCAAAAAACTTATGATAGACCTGATATTGTAGCAAGAGTATTTCATTTAAAAATTAAGCAATTTTTAAAAGAAATTTTAGAAAAGAAAATTTTTGGGAAAGTAAAAGGTTACTGTTATACAATAGAATTCCAGAAAAGGGGGCTTCCCCATTTGCACATGTTATTAACTTTAGGGAAAAAATATAAATTAAAAAATACAGAGGAAATTGATAAATATATTTCTGCCGAAATACCAGAAGAAAATGAAGATAAAGAATTATATAATTTAGTGTCAATGTTTATGGTACATGGTCCATGTGGACCGGATTTTCCGGATACAATATGTTGGTCCACCAAATTAAATAAATGCACAAAAAAATTTCCAAAAAATTTTTCTGAAAAAACGGAAATAAATGAAAATGGATATCCTTTTTATAAAAGACCAAATAATGGAAAATTTTTAATTAAAAAAGATTGGCAAACTGGCAAAACCAAATTAATGACCAATCAAAATATTGTACCTTATAATAGATATTTAATTAAAAGATTTGCCTCTCATATAAATATTGAAAAAGTAGCAGATATTAAGGCTGTAAAATATATTTATAAATATATTTATAAAGGTTATGATGCTGCAATTATTAAATGCATTTCAACAGAAAATGGTGAAAAAAAAGAATTAATATATGATGAAGCAAATAATTATCTTGATGCAAGATATCTTAGTCCAGTTGAAGCATGTTGGAAAATATTTAAATTCCCCTTACAAGAAAAATCACATTCCGTTATGAGATTACCCGTGCACTTAGAAAATGAACATTTAATTTATTTTGAAGAAGATGACGATAATGAAAAAATACTTAAAAAATGTGAATCAAAAAGTAAATTAATGGCTTATTTTGAATTTTTAAAAAGTAGCCCGACATTTCCAAAATGTTTATATACGGAAATACCAAAATATTGTGTATGGAATAATAAGGATAATAAATGGCAATTAAGGAAAAATAAAAAAATACATAAAACTTTAGGAAGAATGTATCCAGTTAATCCAAATGAAGGAGAAAAATATTATTTAAGATATCTTTTACTTAAAATCCCAGGTACAAGTTTTAAAGATTTAAAAACAATTAATGGTATTGAATGCAATACTTTTGCTGAGGCATGTTTAAAAAGAGGTTTAATAAAAAATGATGAAGAATGGAGAGAATGTTTAAATGAAGCAAAAACTTTTAAATTCCCTTCAGCTTTAAGAAATTTATTTTCAAGTATTTTATTATTTGGTGATCCAAAATATCCTGAATTATTATTTGAAGAATTCAAAAATGATTTGGCTGAAGATTTTATTAAAAAATACACATGTATTTATGCTTATAAATTAGCTCTTTCGTATATTAATAAACATTTAGAAAATGAAGGAAAATCTTTAAAAAATTTTGTAACAATGCCTCAAGAAATTTTAATAAATATCGATGATGAAATTATTGAAATTGATGAAGAAAAAAAAATTGTAGAAACTTTTTATAAATTTTTGAATGAAGAACAAAAAATAGTTTTTGAATATATAAGAAAAATTTTAAAAAACGAAATATTAAATGAAAAGTTAATTTATATAGACGGCCCTGGAGGTACAGGAAAGTCTTATCTTTTAACAGCAATCTATCATTTAGTAAGAAGTTACAACAAAAAAATTATAAATATGGCATTTTCTGGAATAGCAGCTAATTTACTAAAGAATGGAAGAACGTTACATAAACAATTTAAATTACCATTAAATATAAATTCATATTCTATTTCAAATATTGTAGAAAATACAAAAGAAGCAAACGAAATTTTAGAAACAGATTTTTTTGTTATAGATGAAGCCCCTATGGCATCAAAATTTATTATTGAAATTATAAACAAAAAATTACAAGAATTAACAAGAATGAATAATCTTTTTGGAAATAAAACATTTATACTTGCGGGCGATTTTCGACAAACATTACCAATTAAAAAATTTGCTATAAGAAGCGAAATAGTTGATCTTACAATAAAAAAATCTTTTCTTTGGAAATATTTTAAAAATTTTAAATTAGTAAAAAATATTAGAGCTAAAGACCAAATATATGCTAAAGAATTATTAGAAATAGGTAATGGAAAAATTGAAAAAAATGTAATAAGAATACCGACAGAAAGTATATGCCAAAATAATACAGATTTAGTTTTTGAAATTTATGATGAAATTTTAAAGAAAAAAAAATATGATGAATTAAAAAATTTCATGATTCTCTCTCCATACAATGATTTAG